TGACCAGGGCAGTGGCTGGTGCTATTCACGTGGAAGACTAACGATTGTTCGTGTGGTAACCAACCAGCCGTATGGCCAGCCTTGCCGTATGATCTCGGTTATTTGTTGTTAGATAATGCCATGAAACAGTTCACTCTCAATGAGCATTTCTCCAAGACGGTTTCTCCTTTTGCCTGTCTGTCTAGAACCATCTTATTTCCTTGTGGTCATTGTTTATGGGACCAGCACCAATAGCTGCTTTTTGAAAACGGACGTTGGGCTCTACTAGCCGTTTCCTTCGATTGCCAATGCTTATGTGCACTACAGCCACCAAGTTTGGTTTTCTGTAAGTGATATCTCCTAATATGTGAATTTTAAACTCGGACTGGGTTGTTAGACATAAAATGTCTTGTCCATGTGATGTTTTCTATTGGTCTCTTTTTAATCGAAGTGTAACACTACTTGACATTCGTTAAGAACGGATAACGATCTTTGGCAAATGCCCGCCCGATAACTCCGATTATCGTTATCACGACGCCAATGCCGACAAAAATATGCTGGAGTTAGCAGGTGACCCACTGCACGTGCCATCGCTCGCCGAGAACCATTTCAAGCTTTACTGAATGAGTAACGCTACATTTCTGCTGGAAAAGACGAAATGATGTACGCCTCTGGTGATCCATCCTTCCGCAAATCAATTGCCTACCTCGTCATAGTAATCCGTGACCTGTAATACTTGTGAACACAGGTTCACTGTCATCCGTCACTGCAATGTTGACCATTTCCAGCATTTTCGCATTTTCGTTGACCATAGCACATTTCCAGTTGCTGCTGTGCCTGTGTGTGGCGGTGGCCGTGGCGGCGCCCCAGAACACCGCCGAACTGCTGCGCATGGACAGCACGCAGAACGAGGACGGCTCATTCCAGTACGCCTTCGAAACCACCGACCCCATCGCCGTAGAGGCCTCCGGAGCGCCCAAAAATATCGGCGAGGAAGTCGGCATCGCCATGCAGGGCAGCTACAGCTTCGATACACCCGAAGGACAAACCATCACCATCACCTGGGTCGCCGATGAGAACGGTTTCCAGCCCTCTGGAGACGCTATTCCAGTGGCGCCCCAGTGATATGTGGGCTCACATCGCCCCTGACGCCATATGATCATTTGAAATCACCAACTTTAGCACGCTGAAAAGAGGGCATGCTGTTTTCACGGTTGTAATATACGAAGCGGTGAAAAGTGTTCGTGATTACGTAGCACTCAGCATTGTTGGCTGCTCATCGGGGCTCCATGCGATCTGGTACTGGCGATTGCTGGCATCAAATTCGTTCCCATCAATCTTCCTTGAGCCAATTACCGCCTGTTAGGTGCATCCACGCAAGAAGGCCATCCTGCAATTTGCACACCTAAACTAGCTCTAGGCAAGAGCGTTGGGCCACACCTTTGTGAAATTGCTAGCGAGCATGCGTGCATTACATGACATATATGACGAGCGCATTCATCAAGCTTCATGCTTCTTTCTGCGAGAGGATGCAGGCGTTGTTGCTGGTCACGATTGCCGGGACGGCAGTCGGTCTTATTGTGCTGAGAGGAATTTGTCCCACCTAGCTTTGCAACTCTGGTTATTTCAAACTCAGGTGACAATTGCTCGTACACATGAAAAGCTTCGGTCTTAACTGATACATCACGGAAACATTGTAGCTTTTTGCTCTTCTCCTGAGTTTACAATGCTACAACACCACGGTCTAAAGTGCGTACTTTTGTGTCATATGAACTCCGCGTATTGGCCTGTTAGAACTCAGTTTTCTATGTTGACTATTTCCGTTTGCGATGGTCATAGGACCCAAAGACAGGTACATACCAGTTTTTGTGAACTTTAATCCACTCTGTAACGAGTTATATGCATGGGTTACGAGCTGCCCAACCGGCATTGCCGAGGTCCAATTTCAAGACACGTGACGTCAAGAAAACAATAGTTGTTAAACTTAACACTGCGCTCAAGCATAAGCAGCAATTTGGAAATGCATACGAAATGAAGATTGACGGTGTAAGCCGCAGATGTCATTCTGTGGGAGGAAAGTGGGGTCGGTGGACAGACACTGATGGAGAAACATCCTTATTTTAAGAAGCGTTTGCGCACGTCGTGGCACACCCTTTTATTGAGCGCCAGCGATTGCAGAGACCATATTACCGCTCAGGGACCATGATGCAACCAGGTTTTTTTCCGCTCCCCCCCCCCTCACCCACATTTCTTCCGGTCCGCGACTTTGGTGCTTTATATTATTGCATGATTATTACTCACCTCTGTTGTGCGACAGACAATTCCATTTCAAATGTAACTTCCAAATCCAATTTGCATTTTTAGATCAAATCCAGTGAAACTAGGTGTATTTGTTCTATCTTTTTCAACGTGTGTGCATACTATCGACTACAGCACGCACAGGTGTTGAAATAACAAGGCAACCAAACCAATTAACATGCATAAGACTTTGCTATCCAACATGTAAACCACATTCATGTTAACTGTAAAACTACACTGGTAAACAAAACCCAACAAGGTCACTATGAGGTCCATTCGAAACAATTTGTAAGCTAACGAGATGGGTGTAGCCTGCTGAAATTTGAGGGGCACAAAATGACCGTCCGGCAATAGTGCTCTCAGCGCTGTTACCCGGCAGTACAGCACAATAGTGCTCTTAGCTCACGGCACACACAGCACTCACTCAGTGCTGTGTGTTACAGAGGCTGTCCGATGACGCTAAACAGACCAATGGCTTTGATCAATTAGCTGAATGTATAAGCTGTTTTAGCATGCTTGTGTTAAAGGCAATCTAACATTTTAAGTTACATGCCAACCAGCTACAGGACGTAATAGACGAAGAGGTTGAGAACAAAGACGACGTCGATGTAACACAATTTCCACCTGCTGGAGATGCCGACGCATGTCCGAACACCGAGACGTAAAACAAAGAGTACTGCCAGTCTGCGTACCAGTTTGTTCGTCTCTTCTTGAATGATGAGTTCTTGAATCTGGTCATGTGCCAAACGAAGTTGCATGCCAAACAGCAGTCGGATATGTTGTTCTGCGACTGGTCAAGGCAGTGAGACACTGGGCACTCGAAGGTTTTTCCCAGTGCGTATCGAAGTATACACATATGCCAGAATTGGGATTAAGAGCAGATTTGGGTTATCGTACCAAAAGTTGTCAATGCGGCGCTAGCGGCATCTGTGGTGTGGTTGTGGCGACGAAGTGTGCGACTTAGTGAGAGCAAGTGCGTTCTTCACATGCACCTAGGTTTGCCTGATCAATTTTGTTCTCTGCGCACTCACAATGCGTCTTAGCTTACGTATTATGACTCATTTGAAATATTCTGCTTCATAACTGATCACGTAATGACTCAGTCACTGCGCAGCGAGTCACCCATGCACAGTTTGGGGTAGGATACCGGCTGCAGGGTGCTAGATGACAATTGGCTGGGCAAGGTGTTCTAAGGTGTGCTAAAGCTGGAGTATGGAGTCTTGCTGTTTTTAATGAATGAATTGTTGAAAAAGATGGAATTGTTGTCTGATTAGCATTTCAACATTTGATACATACAAGCATAAGAGTACACATCTATCTCCATATGTGTTACCCATTGCAAAGAGGGGCAAGCATTAATTATTTCAAATCTACACTGCTGCATGACCACAGCAGATCTTTTCCTTGAGAGATACATGACAATATAAGGCCATGCAGATGTCTTTGGTCATGGTTTGTTATTCACACCTCCGTTCTTATATTTGGTCAAATACAGTTGTCAGCCTGCATTGATTAAAACAGGTGTATACCTAATATTTGAAAATTGGCTAAGCTCTCCGGCATAATTCAGCCTCTTTGATACTGTAAATTCTTTGCTTTCCAGATCACGAGTATTAATTTCCGTTAACTATTGGTGGACTGCGCTGAGCGCTGGACATTTCAAAGTCGCCTTGGCATTCATGACGACATAATAACGTCATGCATATGTTAACGGTCAATGCCAATAAAAACATAGTTGCCAAGGCTTTCATACCTGGCGTTTGTGAGCGCAATTTCGAGATATATAGCCATCAATTGTCTCTCAATCAATGTTGTGCAAGGCACGATGACGTCATCAAGCCACGACGCATTGCAAAGCATGTTTACTAAACGGAGAATTCTGCTGTCAAGAGCAGTCTTTCCCACCTAAAAAGTATATCAGTTGTTTTAAGTAAGCTTGTTTCGTCACATATGATGCATCAATATCTTCAAATGTGAAACATTCCCTTTAACGTGCGGACGCCTCTAGCGTAGAAACCGTTGGTTCTCGAGTCCGCTCTGTCCCATGATGTCTGAGGCAGCGCCGCTGGTGGGACAGCCGGAGGGGCAGTGGACGGCAGGCAGCAGCACCTTCATCGTGCCACCACTGCTGTGCTGGCCCTATGATGGCATTGCCGGTCCTCCGCCCCACAAGCCACCAACGATTTTTAAGTTAAAAAGACTGCGCTAGACAGTGCAACTCTCTATTAAGTCGATTTGCTCCTCAATGTGTCATCGTTTCATTACGTCCTTGTAGCCAGCGCAACATTGATTGAGAGCCAATTGGCGGCCGTTATATCTGGATATTTTGCTGACGAACGGCAGATATGAACGTATCGACGATTATAATTTTATTGGTCTTGATCGCCCCATGACTTAAGGATTAGAAGGATTTTAGGCGTTATTATGACGTCATGCACGCCAAAGTGGCTTTGAAACACTGCCCCATTTTCGCGGGCTTGTAGCTCAGAAACTAGAGGCGCGTGGGCCTTAAGAAGGGTGGGATTGTCCACAGCACCGAGGGGCCTCCGAGATGGGTTTACAGTTCAAAACCCAATATAAATGTGGAATGCTCGCTTTAAAGGAAATGCTCCACACTTGCATAAAGTGAAGCACTAAAACTGATGAAATGTGCTCACATATGACTGAGATCATTTTAAGTGCAAAATTGTTGAAGCTACAGCACGCGATGAACTATGTGTTTGTGAAATGGTATGTATTGTACAGCTGGAAAACATAATGCATGGTAGCTTCCCCACCTCGTCATTTCCGTGCGAACCAATAGCTTGCTTTCTATAGACATCACCAACAATTCCGGTTTATACATATATAAAAAATATGCGCTTTTATATTTAAGACAACTTTGTGGTAAACAGAACACAAGTGAGATGAATTTAGATGCAAATTATCCGCCAATACCCGCTAAGTATCGGCGGCAAAGCCGAAACCAGCCAAAAGCTATGCAAGCGCGCGGGATTGCCGGCTCCCTGGTTTAAAACCGCCCACACTGGTAGGTATGGTGATTTCAGCGTAGCATTCTTGCCTGGACGCACCAATAGGCAGTAATTTTCTCATGCAAGTTGTATTCGCACGAATTCAGTACCATCATTCGTCAAAACAAGCTTTTTTGCGACCGCGATGACCGACCAACAAAGCTGAACGCGATGTCAGCACGAGGGCTTTTCACTACTTCGCGTATTTCAACCGTGAAGATAGCATGCTCCTCTCTTCAGCGTGCTAAAGTTGGGGATTTCAAATGGTCATACAACGTTAGGGACAATGTGAGCGGACGCATCACTGGGGCGCCACTGGAATAGCGTCTCCAGAGGGCTGGAAACCGTTCTCATCGGCGACCCAGTTGATGGTGATGGTCTGTCCTTCGGGTGTCTCGAAGCTGTAGCTGCCCTGCATGGCGATGCCGACCTCCTCGCCGATATTTTTGGGCGCTCCGGAGGTCTCCACGGAGATGGGGTCGGTGGTTTCGAAGGCGTACTGGAATGAGCCGTCCTCGTTCTGCGTGCTGTCCATGCGCAACAGTTCGGCGGTGTTCTGGGGCGCCGCCACGGCCACCGCAACACACAGGCACAGCAGCAACTGGAAATGTGCCATGGTCAACGAAAATGCGAAAATGCTGGTAATGGTGCACGCTGCAGTGACGTATGAAAGTGAGCCTGCGTTGGCAAGTATTACAGGTCACGTGTTACTAGGGCGATGAATGCTATTGATCGGCAGAAGGATGGATCACCAGAGGCGCACATCATGCTGTCTTTTCCAGCAGAAATGTAACTGTACTCATTCAGCAAAGCTTAAGACGGTTCTCGGCAAGTGACAGCACGTATAGTGGGTCACCTGCTAACTCCAGCATATTTTTGTCGGCATTGGCGTCATGGTAACGATAATTGGGGTTATCGGGCGGGTAGGCGTCAAAGGTCGTTATTCCTCCATAACGAGCGCTACCCATGGCTACATTTCAACTAAAAAAAGTCAATAGAAAACATCACTTCGACAAGACACAAAACCACCTAACCTCCGTTTAGAAATCACATTTTAAGAGACAACACTGAGAGAAAACAAAACATGGTAACTATAGTGCACACAAGCATTGGCAATCGAACGAAACAGCCAGCAAAATGTTCCACATAGGTTCAAGGGAAAACGTTTTAAAAAATCCAGGAGACATTAAAAAAAACAGCAAACCGAACAGCAGGTACACAGGAGGTACCATAAGTAACCGCCACATGGAGATGCGGCGGGTAAGGGAGGCATCCGCATCGGTGTCAGTCATCAGTTCGTCACCTGAGACTCACGTAGACAGACAAGTAAAAGAAGAAACCGCACCAGCGAACCAATACTTATTTAAGAACAACTTCTTTATGGCATTATCCAACAACTGATGACCCCTAGATCATACGGCACCTATGATAACTGTCATAAAATCTGAAGTGTCCTCGATAGTTGAGCAGGTTTGTTAGTCCCAAAGCAGTTAAGTGTGCCGTATGTCATACTCAGAGGTGGGATAGGGTTTGGTCTTCGTTGCGAATAGCACCAATCACCGCCCTGGTCGCACCACAAATGTTGAGTTCACAAACACAATCACACAAAACGTATTGCGGGAGGGGTTTACCAGCTTCATGATGGGAGTTGTTCCGTTCGAACTGGTGCTCAACCAAGGGTCTCGCGACATTTTATATCCTACGAGAGCCTGGCCTGGCCCCCGGCTACCTTCAACCCGCACTTGACACAAGGCGTGTTATGCAAATGACACTGCAGGGACAGGGCACTGCATTGGTTGGCGCCCATCACGTGACTATCCGTTGCGTGGCCACTGATTTGCATGCCAGAGGGCCCCAGCTAGACACCCTATCCGTCTCCCGGCGGGCCAAGGTGAGACAAAAGGAGGAATGAGCTATTCGGCGTCGGCAGGTGGGTAGGCGGAGTTCCCAGCCAACTGACATGGACTATGACGATGTCATCGAGGGCAATTGCAATGGCTGCCGTTTTCCTACATGTACTTAAAACCCGTGGCCTCGTGGACAAAATCAGTGAACGTGCATATTTTTGTTGAAATAACACATGCGTCAAACCCATCAAATATAATAGCCACAAATATACAGCATAGCAGCAGACAACCACAGCTTGAGAGCTGTGGCGCCAGCGACTAGCACTGACTTATACATTTTGAGACGATGAAATCCCAAGAAAAGAGGACATTCTAGGCTGGAATAGTCTCACAGGATTGTGGAAGAAGTTGCGTTGTAGTTATAAAATGCACTGCAGGTAATTTTAGTTGAACAGGTTATGCATTAAGGTTGCTATGCAAATGGCATATGGTGCAGAAATCCTGCATTATAAATGTTATGGAGCTGAGAAACTTTATCTCACTCTGGCGATCGATCCTGCATTGTATTTGTAAGGACAGGCCAGCAGAAGGTAGGCAGGTAACACGAGCATCAGTCAAGTTATCATGTTCTCCTGTAATAAGGGTATACTCTTTTGGGGGATATGACTTTGAAATGATGAAGAGACATCAACGGCTTGCACATTATCTGAGACGTTTACACCTTGGAAGCCGTCGTTCGCAATGTTTGGAGCCCTTCCTTCGCAATGCCATGCTGTTCCGTGCCTGTCTACGTAGCTGGCGTGCGCAAGACATACCTATTATTCACATACTGCTGTGTTAGGCTCACGCTTGTACGCAGAACTACCGTGCTCGGTCCGTGCCTAGCTGGTTACCATGAGTGCCAGGCCGAGGACGTTCATGTTTGAGATGCTTACGTGTGTTGCTATTCTTAAAGTGAGTTTTCCAATTCTGGAGCAAATTTTTTAAAAAAACATACTCCAGTGAAACCTCAGGACTCGCTACGTCTGTTATCGACATTGAGCGATGTCACTGCATCGCCTTGAAGACATAATAAGGACATCACTTTTAATTATTTCTGAGTCCAAATTACCCGCCGTCATAACAACCACCGTTCGCACCTCTACTGGCGCGGATGAAAGAACGGTTGTGATAAACCCAGCGGGCAGGGGCCTGTTACCGAGAAGCGCATTGCTTAAAGTTTGAACCAGTGTGTCATATGGAGCATGTGACAGTCCCATTCCTAACGCCGAAGTGCGCCTCTTAAAGAGCCATTGTGGTTAACGTCGTAGGGCGGAAAGCATAGCCATGGCGTAACGTTTCGTTGAATTCGCAAGAAAATAACTTTATGTTCGCACATATTTTTGACTTAACAGCGTGTTTTAAGCATCCGTAGCGTGTACTCCACAAACAGTTTGACACATTGGTGTATTCAAATCAGAGCAGTAGAATGCCGGGTACTCCAAAGTCTTGACTAGTAGGTATCGACACATCCTACAAGCATACCAGATCGGGATAAAGATCAGACTTGAGATGTGCCGAAAGTTGGCAGTGCTGTGCTAGCGGTATTTTGGATATGCTTTATGCTGCTGCTGTGCTGTGCTTTATTCTTGTTCCTTTTCAATGAAGGAATACTTGACTATTGTTGTCTGATTGACCGTTGAATATTCAAGATATGCAAAGATAACCTAGCACCACTTTCTACAAACGTGCTACCGCCCACTTAATAGGCCAGGCAGCAATTATATTCAGCACTGTCGCCTGATCATGTAAGGTACATTCATTGACACATGAATGACACTGTAAGATAGAAGAAAGAGATACCTGTTGTAATGTTGTGCACACAAGTGATACGACATTTCATCAAAAGAAATACCAGCCTGCACTGTTAAGGGTTGAATACCCGATGTCAAACACTGGCGAGTTAAAAACGTCCGGCATAATTCAGTTCATTCGAAATTGCAAGGTTATGTCCTTTCAGATCAGACGCATTGATATGTGAAATTTATTGGCGGCCTGCGCTGTCAGCTTCCCCCGGCCACCTCCACCCAAGGTGTGTTTCTTATTGAGTCTGGAACAATTCGTTTTGACCAGAGCTATTTTTATCTTGCAGTTTTGTTTCATTCATTCAATAGTCCAGCCAATACCATCAGATGATTTTCAAAGTAGGTGATATCACCATGCGGCATGTACCTCCACCTTACTTTTTTGTAATTTGCTGGCAACAATAAGAGAAATTCAAACCAACAGTCGCTGCGACATTTCAACAAGGCGGGGAGGGAGGCAGAACCCCATTACGAAATCCCAATGCAATTATCTGCAATACATACCTTCTATTAAACGGTAACCTGTGCTTGGTAAATATATCAAATGCAAGTAACAAATGTGGTAGATAATGGGTGCAATGGTTTGGATTGTATCCGAAATTACTAGTTGTTCAGCCAGATAACGGATCTTTGTCATTTATGCTAAATATTATGCTGAAACGATGAGAGCTTTCAAAATACAGGGCTTACAATTTCATTATGATGTTTTAGAATGTTTGCTTATCCGAGGGAGGATTTCAGCATTACAACATTTGTAGAAGCTGAAGTTTGGGTCAAGTTTTGCAATATATTGAATATTCAGCTGCAACCAATTCCTCAGTACCACACCTATTACACATCTTGCATAATTCATAGCAACACGATTTTTTGTAACAATTGCAGCAAATGTTAAACTGCAGATGGTGGGACAGCAATGTTGTATCGATTACTCATGATGCATATATATATATATATATATATATATATATATATATATATATCGGCGATTTCTCAAAAACTCATTCTTACTCAACACTTTTAATCCGTCGGTGACCGTATTCACTCCGTTTTCGATCTCAGCTGTGCTGAAAAGAGTCGGCGGCAGCGGCGACGGGATTCGACACCGCGCTTTGACGTCGCGGCGCGCAAATGTGTCTACGCTTTGCTTGATAACTCAAAAACGAGTGTCACAGCGCACACTTTTGATCTCGAAAACTGAGAGAGACTTGCTAGCTCTGTATTTCCACGCACTTTTTACGCATGCATGTGTTCAATATTTAGCAAGCCGTGGGCTTGAAATATGGCATTTTAGCATAGGACTCTAAGGGCTAGTCGTGAAATATGTGCCGTTGCTGCCATGTTTTATACTAGACTTTGGACCCCCGTGTTCTAATCATTGCAAAACAGACATATTGAAAAAGCAAGGCAAATGAAATGCGTTGCTTTTATAGAGGTGAGCGAATAGTCAAATGAGATTTCCCCCTTTGAATTTGTGGCTGAAATGGCAGCCGTACAATTAGATGGTGACACATTCAGGCTAGCTCCTATGTAATTAGTTTATTTACCGACATTTTTATCCAACAGAGCTTCGACATATGTGTTAGAGCCTTGTTATCAACAGCTTCTGAGACAATAGGTTTACCCACCAAAAATTTCAGGCTGCCGTGAGCTTACTTGCGCTTACGGTGGTGAGCTTGTTTTCATCTTCACTCACAACTTTTGTGGACAGAAGGAGAGGTGGGTGTGGGTTTCCATTTGGGTCCAGTGTTCGCTAATATTCTATTTGTGATTATGAAAATATCTGGCTTGGTTCCTGTCCGACCGAGTTATCTTTCTTCATCGCATGTATGTTTATAGTTTCTATCTCCTTTTTAAGGGTAGGTCACACTTAATTTTCTTCCTTTATTTCTTAGCAGCACGCATTCCAACAGTACATTTGCTTCGGAAAAGGAGTTCAGAAGGCACAATTCCCTTTCTGGACGTCCTCATCCACAAGGAGGGTGATCGCCTTTGTACTTTGGTACACAGAAAGTCTTGTTATACTGGGCTGGGGAGCAGTTTATTAAGATTTATTACGGATTCATTCAAGCTTATATCACTATGAAGGGCTTTCTTTAGAGCATACCATTTCAACTCCACTGATCAATTCTTGCATGCAGAAATCGGGTATCCTAGGAGCCATTTTTGGAACAATCACTTCTCCCTGAAGCTCATTTATTTATGCGTTCGGAGGTCCCCCATTCTAAGCATCTTTCCTTGTCCACGCTCTGTTACGCTCCAAAACTCAAAAAGCAGTTTGTTCTAGCGCATTTTGGCCCATAATCTGAAAGACTTAAAAATAATTTTCAGATCCTGTCAATCGACTGTGGTTTTGTTGCAAGTTTTGTTGTGTCACGCTTGCGGTGTTCCACTCATGACTCAAACTTTGGAGCTTGCACGATCGCATCCAGTGGCAATAAAATAAATCCACCCAGACTCGAACATTTCTTGCACTCACCACTCCTCCATCCCACAGCATTTATTTATGCATAATGCTGCAGTTTGGGTTTCAAACGAAGTATACTGCGGGGGAGATATTCCTCCTCTGTTTTGAGAACATTTAGGGGAGTTTTCTACATTTACATAGGGTTGTGAGCTGAAATTGGCACTTTGAAGATCTTTCGGTGATATCTACCATCCTGCCCTGCTTAAAACCTAAATTCCGCTATTTTCTTAGCTACACGCACGCGACACTGGGCAAGATTATATCGGAGAGAGTATTTCAAAGTTGCCTTGCTTTCTGCAACGTCATAGTAACGTCACTCAAATCATGTCATTCTCTAAGCCATGCAGCGATCAAGGAAAAGAAAAACGTAATCGTCGAGGTGTCAATGAGCACAATTTCCAGATGATACGGTCAACATTGGCTCTCAGTCAATGTTGTGCGCGGTACGACGACGCATCAAGCCATGACACATTCTGGTCTGACTCGTCACACCAGATCTGATTTGCTACGACACAGGGAAAAGGCACGTAAGCTC